GAAGATAAATGACATCATCTCCTGACCAGTCTAAAATTGTTCTTATAGCCACATGGCTTAACCAATTCTCATAACATTTTTTAAGTAAGCTAATTTTATACCAAGCCTTTTACACAGGCTTTTTGAAAGCCTAAGTTGAAAATTACAGAATGGAAGCAACTTAAATTTTACAAAATACATTATCAAACCAATTAAGCTAGTTTTAGGAATGAATTCAATTATTCTTGAATAAAAATCAGCCTTCTGTGATACTGCAATGCTGAGAAAATGGCAATTTAAATATCCAAAATGCAAGCCAAACTCAAATCTCAGTAATAATACAAATGTACAGGCATTATTTTTAAGTCAGAATAATAAAAATTAAAGAAGTACAAAATTTACTAGGTCACACAGAGTGGGCACGAACTATTCAGTGTCATCTAATGGGACCTAAGAGATATACCTTCCTTGGTCCTGCCACTGCCCTTTGGAAGGAGCCCCCCTCCCGGTTCAGGTGGCCCAACCCTATTAGCCTTTCATAGAGCCATAGAGATTTTACTTTCCTCCTGTCCATTGGGACAGGATGCTAAGTAAGCCCATTCCGCTGAGAAAGTCTCTGTCATGCCTAGGCTCAACTATGTGGATTTGTATAATCATGGTTCACTATTTTGATTTCTATTACTTTTGTTTGATTTTTGACTCATGTATGCCACCCAGAGTCATCTGATCAGTTGGGTGGTCTTAAAAATTCTTTAAATAAATAAATTCTGATACAATAATTATTTACTAATTGTATCTGTTTTATATTGGCATATAACATTTGTTTTCAAGATGTAGTAGACTATAATAAACAAAAAATGTGACTTATTTTCTTGAGGATTTGGTAAAATTCAAGCATATGAAGAGTGAATATTGGGTATATGCATGGACAAAGAGGCAAGTAAAAACTCTATATCAAAGAGAAAAATCTTTCAAATGTTGTATCTTTGCCATTTATTATCCTATGTTGAACAACTGTCTAATTCATGTTCATCACTCACTGAGTATGATTCTATCAGGTCTTGAAAACATTTCCTCTATTTTCTTTTTGTTAAAATGTTCAGGTATTATATAACCATTTATACAACTCTGGAATTAGGTTTCTTTGCTCTGGGTTGTTTCCAGAATTCAGAATAACTCTGACTATATAAAATCTTCTCAGTATTCCATAAACAGGCCAGGCACAGAGGGAAAAAGGCAGAAAAGGGGATGCAGATTTTTGAAACCAGCTTCTTTATCTAATCATAGATTTTTTTTCTAACCATTTTTCATGCTCTACTTTTGCTTCTAATTGTAGCACTTCTGGAAAAGATTTTGGTTGCATTTCAGTATCTAGTTAACCCAGAAGTAAAGCTTTACTAAAATGAATGAGACTTACTTCTGGGTAGTCCTGTATAAAATGCATTGCCTGTGAAATTGGTGCAAACTGGCTGAAAACAGTTTCTTTTAAAGCCTCAAATACTGTTCAGTAATAATTCACTATACCAGGAATTTCTCTCTCTGACATATAGTATTCTTACTGAATAAACAAATCTAATAAGATTTTCCTACATTTTACCATGATCTTTCTGAAGACAAGGGTTCTTTAGAGTATGCTGTGTTAAAGTGTTGATATTTTATGCTTCTGGAGATAAGGATAAGGTGGGATGTTTCCTCCACAGACACCTTCAAGCAGCAGCATCCAGCATTCCCTTTCATCTTGGCTTTTCTCCAGGGAATACTTTCTTTCTACCCATTTTCAAATAAATCCGAAGTACCACCTTCCTTTAAGGCCTTATCCTGCTGAGACTGATCTCTGCAATTTGGAAGGAAAGCTAGCTAATTTTTATGAAGCCTGTCTCTAACCTTCACATATATTCTTTTGATGTTCTGAAAGTAACTTACCTAGGGCTATCTCTACGTTGTATATCATTGGCCTGGTTAAGAAAGGTATAATAATTTGTAAAATATGTAGGCAATATAAACTGTTGATTTTGACAGCTCTTTATCCCTCATCTCTTTAGATACATGCTAGACATTCTAATTTCACTTGTTTCTGTCCCAATAAATAAACTATAGACGTCTGGTGATTATTCTTGTTATAATAATTAATAGTTATAATTGATGAGGATAAAAACATTTGAAACAAGAATTCATTTTGTTTCTTCTCAGTGTCTAAGGAGAAAAGGAGGCTCCACCTCCAGCACAATTGCATCCTCTTTTTTTCTACCTTTGAGTGAAAGGCCGTAGCACTCCCTTTCAATTTCTTTTCAATATTGTTAATTTTGATACTAGAAGTGTAATGCTAACACCCTCAAACTTGCATGTAAACATTTGGATTTTACTATGATTTTCGAGTGTTGATCCCACTTCATTACCATTAAATTGGCAAGGAGGTCAAGGGTTCTGCATGAAACCTGATGTTAGCTTAAAATTATAGGAAATATAAATCAACTGAAGAAAATTATAAGTTTATTGGGGGAAATATAGTAGAACAAAGTTGGCAGTTTTCCAATTCTGCCTACCTATATATAAGTAAAATATGCGCAAATACGGCTAAAACAGCATGTATTTTAGAATAGATTTAAACCTCTTGACAGGCATAACAGTTGAAAGGAGTGGGGTGAGGAGGACAAAGATACTGTAACTGCTTAAAGCACAAGGTACTAAATGCTTTATTCTTCTGTTAAGAAGAGCAAAAGGAAGTCACTGTGGTTTCCATGAAGATGTGGGAACATGATGGTTCAGAGATCTGAGTTTGTAGATTAATAATTTAAAAGCAATTTCCAATCATTCTGAGTATATTTCTGTTTCTCTCTGTGTGTAAAATCAATAGGCACTTTTCTAGAACTGGGTATTTCTCTTCACATTCATCAGATAGTGATATATTTCAGCTTCAAGCAGCAGAGTAGTACAACTGCTATCAAGAGGATACTAATTACTACAGGTAGTCCCTGGGTTAAGAACACCCAGTTTAAGGATGACCCATAGTTAAGAATGGAGCCTATTTTAGCAAAATTTGTATTAAATACACAGTGATTGCAGCTAATTACACAATACCACTTATACAGTATTATACAATAATACTGC